GGCATGATGCCTCCTGGCGTCTGGTGGGAATGCAGAGAGTTGAGGTTATGCATGAAAATCAGTTGTGATAGTTAGGAGACCTAGCCAAGAATGTACAAACCACGTGTCCATTCTGTCTTTTTGATTAAAGAGAGGCTTTCACTAATGCAGCTGCTATCTGGCTTCTTGAAGAGGGTTTCAATCACAATTCAAAAAAGTGCTGTGGTAAGATTTCCTTACTGTGGCTTCTCTCTCTGCATAAGTTCCCTGTATAATGGTTTACAAAGGTCTGCACTAATACTGACTTCCGGCTCCTGTGCTAAGAAGGCAAATAGTTGTGCCTGTAATGAGGAACACTGGGTGAATTAAGGCTTTTCTTTAGAATTGGCTAAATTGTATGTGCCAACTAATCCACATTGTATTTAATGCCAATTAAAGATTTGATTTATCTACTTTAACACCATTTTTATATGTTGTTTTCCCTTTTTTATAAAAGTTCTTTTTTCACCCTTCCATCTCTCTATGGAACAATAAAAAATTAGGACCACTTCAAAATCTCCTTGGAATAGTTCAAGGTTTCTCTGAAAATATTAATTGTGTTTTTAGGTTTATCAGGTTTTTTTTCTCAAATGAAAAAGCTCTCTCCACGTCATTATAACACTGTACTTTAAACTCATTTAACTGGAGATTATTTTCAGAATATTTATCTTGGTTATTGCAGTTTGTCATACAGTGATATTAGTTTTCCATTATATGCTGCATGTCTATTTCACAGAAGTTTGATAATAAATGCTGGGAAATAAAAAACAGAGGCACTACCTCTGTGTGATAGCAATTGCCATATAATGGGAAATAATGTCATAAACTTCAAATTACATTTTAAATAAATGTCTAAGTCCAGCCCATCCATTAGATCATAGCCCAAAAGGGTCAGAAGGATCACTCCTTCATATTTCACTGTATGCAGTATGATTGCTTTTTTAGGTGTAAATGATGCTTTTAAATGAAGAATGACAAGCAGTATACAGAGACAGTACATTACAGTCACAGTAGGATCATAATAGCCATGGCCACTATGTTAAATTCAGAAGTGTGACACATTCATTGAATTCACTTTTTGCAAAGGATTATTAAATGGGTGTGTGCTGATATCAATGTTCCTGGAGTTTGTAATTGTTTGGAACTTTCACATTTGGGTTCAGTGTTGGGTTCTAAGCTTCCTCTGGTGAGCACAATGTTTGCTGTTTCTGGAATTAAAAACATAAACACTTGAGAGTGAAGAATGTAGATGGCTGATGATTCTCTTGACTATGGCCTTAAATGTGCAGGGCTTAACTAGGGGCGTAAATGAAGTGACATCAATTCTGTTAGGGCTCAATGATGAAATTTCTATATTAACAATATTGGGCTCAGTTAAGTTTATTAAATATTTGCAGTGACCACCTTGTGAGGTCCCTTTTTTTGTGTGTCTCTTTCCTCCCCCTCTCTCCCTCCCCCCCCTCCCCCCCGTGTATAGCCCAGACCACCTCTTGAAGCCTTTCTTATATTGTTGAGTAAACTGTTGCCCTGGGTGAGGAGTAAGGACCAACACTGACTCCAAGCCATGCTCTTCACAAGGACTAGCCAGTATTACAGTTCCTGTTGTTGATTCCTGCGACTACTTCCAGGAGTGCAAAGAATCCCACATGAACAGAGAAAAGACAGTGTAGCAACCCTCAAGAATTCAGGAAGCATAATCCCTCCCAGAGCTGCAGCCTGAGAAGGAGGTTATATCTTCATGTACAGGGACATGAGTAACTTACATATGGTTCTTCCTTATTCAGTAACCCCTTTGTGACCTATTTTTACTGTTTTCATAAAGGCATCACATCTGGTCACACAGATACTCTTAGAACTGTGGTATCCATGTATGGCATAGAGTTTTCATAGTCCTGAGAGGGAGTAGCATAGCCAGCTAAGTATAGGAATCGTGACAGGAATCCACTGTGCTCTGGCTATCCTTGGCAGCTACAAGAATCTGTAAGGGCTGTGGGCAGCGGCAGAGCACAAATTATAGCAGTCCTGAGACTGCTTAATCTTATACCAAGACTAGGCAGGATCATGGATGATTCCCAATTATGGGAAAAGCCAAATATGGTGCAAAGCCACTTCTGTATTAGCCACGAGAAACTGTGTATATTTTACCTTTAACCACTTCATCTGCTCTCTGTCCAGTAATCCATCCCTACCAGGAATGTCTAATATTTAGATGTCTGAACAGCTGTTACCTTTTAATAAAGAAGCCATCAGATGCAACATTGTCAGCTTTCTCCCAAATATGCAGTTGTTTTTTAAAAGGGGGATTTAAAATTACTGTGCCCCAAGGTAATTCTGGGGCTAGCAAAAGTCATTCTGGACTGGTGATATTTTAACATCTGATAGCTCATGTGACCCTTCAGAGAGATAATCACTCTCTCTTTTACAAAGCAGAGAGCCTAGACTTCCTGTAGTATAAAAGCTTAGTTTAAGGATACGTCTAGACTACATGCCTCTGTCGTCAGGCTACCAGGCATTGGAAAATGAAGCGGCGATTTAAATAATCACCGCTTCATTTAAATTTACATGGCTGCCGCGCTGAGCCGATCAGCTGTTTGTCGGCTCAGCGCGGTAGTCTGGACGCGCGGGTGTCGACATCAAAGGCATTTGTCGATCACCCAGGTATGCCTCAGAGTCCTAATATAAAAGCTATTTAAAATTAATTTTAGGGTTTAAATTTTACTTTTTTTTTTCTCATCAGCATAATGAGGTCAGTCCCAGGTAACTAAGGCCAGTTCTCCACTTCAAAGTTTTGTTAGCAAAGCTGTGTCAGTCAACGGTGTGGGGAAAAACAACAACAACCTCTTTGCTGACATAGCTATGCCAGCAAAACCGCACAATAGATGCAGCTATTCTGACAGAAGAATGCTTCTGAAAACATAGCTAATGTCCTTCAGGAAGATGGTGGTGTTATGCTGTCTGAAAAGCTTCTTTCTGTTGACATATGCTGAGTTTATATTAGGGGGCTCTACCAGTATACCTGCATAGGTAGAACCTATGTAGCATAGATTAGCCCTAAGGCATCTACTGCTACAAACAAGGAGATATGGAAAACTGTCAATAGGAAAGAGAAAAGAAAAGTTACTTTACATAAAAATCAATTCTATTTTTTTCTGTAAAAAGGCATGAATGGACACCTTCCCTGTTGAGGATTTATGGACATGCATTAAGGATGATTTGCACAATTGTCGCATCTGCCACAAGCGAGCAATGTACTCCAAACTTTTGCCAAGTATATCTTTATATTATACGTTATAGCATCTTTGTCTCACTCTCTCATTAATTTATATATAAATGTGTCACCACTCCCACCCTAGGCAAAAAAATACTGCCTTGCACGTACAAAGGACCTTAATACAGAGCAGCTTAAGATGGCAACTTAAGATGAAGGAAAACAAACTATTTGGATGGTCTTTTGGCTTATTCAGTGTATTGCTTAGGAAGTGGCAAGAGCAATCTTTATATATGACTATATTCAGATTTTCATTTGAAAAGGAGAATCCTAGTTTTGAATGCTGGAACCATTGTCACAGCTAAGATGAATGAAAGATACCTGTTGAACCTTTTAAAAAAAGACATTCATGCATTAAATGGATGCATTTATATCACAAGAAGAAAGCCCTTATTTCCCATGATCTATGGAGTTTTAAAACTCATCATACTCATAAACTTGGAGTTGTTATTGAATAAGAAAACAGATGCCATCACATTTTAACAGTATGGATTCTTTAAAATGTATTATTTTGATAGCCAGAGGCAAGTACCTAAGCTGTTATACGTGTTTTTGTAAAATAAGTAATTGGAGACAAATGTGCAAGTACACCACATGTACATAGGCGTCTAAGCACCATGGATATAGCCAGGCTTAGTGTGCAGCATAAGCTTCCCAAAATTCTTCCTGGGCAATAGACATGTGTTAACAAAATTGTCTTTTTTTTTTTTAATTTATTTTGAAATTTTACTACACGTGAGTTAATCTGAATGCATTGTAACAAAGACAATATAAAGAAGGGTCTATTTCACCAAATTAGATTGAGAATTTCAAAATACAGAGTGTTGTTTCTCTGGAAGCATTGTTTGTGCTCAGGGGCAGATATAGGGCAGGGTGAGCGGGGCGGCCACCCTGGGCCCCGCGCTTCAAGAAGCCTCGTGCATGCGCCGTGGCAAAGGGGGGGCCCCGCGAAATAGTCATCTGCCCCTGTTTGTGCTATCAGCATTTTCCATTCCTACATAAGCACAATACATTTTAGATATGCGTTTCATGTATGGTACAACTAAAATGCCTTACTTTTCACTTGATTTTTGGTGTTGTATCGTGATTGAATGGGGGTGTATGGTAGATTCAGTTTTCTTTCTTTGTCAAAGTGCTTATAGCACATGGCAGATTTCTATTTTTTATTCTTTCTTAATGTCATCCTTCATTTTCTGTGTCCCACATCTAGGAGTAAGGTTGTGTATACTCTATTTTAATGAAGAGAAATAGCCCATCTATCAACTAGAATTTATATTAGAGCACATCAATTCAGTTGCTATTGCTTGCTGAGCTTGCAAATTCAGGGCTGAATTCTGCTCTCAATTACACCAGGGCAACCCCATTAACTTCAGCAGGTTGTACATTGCAGAATTAAGTTCATAGAATGCAGTATGGTATAAAACTGCTCTCAAATTGCTTCATAAATAATATTTTGGGGCTCAAATTCTATTAGCAATGTGCATACACTCATAGCTAAACTTTTGCATGTGACTGAGATGGTCAATTTTTTTCATATAGTGGGTCTAGTAAATGTAAATATCCAAAGTAACAGATGCCCAAATTATTAGCTCATAGTGGAAACAAAAACACTTCCACTTTAGAGAGGTATTATAAATAGTATTGTCATTAGCAGACTTATTCCGTAGTGGCTTCTATTAACCCCAGATTGTTCCTTTCTTTCTTGGTCTTCTAGGAGCTGTGCCGTCAGCGCATGGCTGTAAAATCATCTGATCGACCAGAGCCCCCACACGCATCTCGCATAAACAGTGTCTCTTCACAACTTAGTGATGGGCCCATTGCCAGTCCCTCCACTCGAAGCAGCACATCATCCTGGTGTGAGGAACCAGTTCAGTCAAACATGGACATCTCCACCGGTCACATGATCCTGGTAAGCAGAGTTCTCTCTATGGCATGTGAAATGTAATCAGTTGAAATCAATGCTGTTCATCAATTTACAGTAGGTTGAAAAATATTTAACTTCTGAAGGGATAATGCCAATTTACAAAACCTAAAAAATTCCTTTGCCTATTATATTAATCTTACCTTTAAATAGTTAAAACTAAAACTGGATTTAAAAAAAAAATCCTTGTCAGTGTGCCGTTTTCTGTTTAGGATACATTCTCTTAGCGTGGACATTTATCATAGATTATTTTTATACAGAAGATAAAAAGGACAAAAAGTAAATTGTCCGGTTTATTTTCAACATTTTACTTGGTTTGGACAATTAAATAAGACTGTGTGATTTCTGTTCCATTTTATTTTCTGTCATGTGTATAATCGTGCTGTAAATGCTGTAGTAGAATATTAACAATGTGTAGAGGACTGTTTTTTTTTTTTTTCCACTGAAATCATGGTTGGGTGGGAGGAAGATCTGAATACTGAGCCTAACTTGGTCTTCCTCTTTTTCTTCCATCTTTAAAGTAATTGGATCTTTCTCATGTTCGAAGCTACACAAATATGTTTTGTTTGTGGAGTCTGGGCTAGAAAACATTGTGGGAGATGGACACTTTATTCACAGGAGTGTATGTATAGTATATGGCTAGTGAAATGCTTTTCACTACCTCAGAGAGGCAGCATGACTTAATGGTTAGGACACTGGAGCTCAAGACACCTGTGTTACATTCCTGCCTTTGATGGTAACCTTCAACAAGTCATTTCACATCCCAGTGCTTCAGTTTCCCCATCTGTAAGATGGGGGTGGTAATACTGATCTCCTTTGCAGAGTTCCATGAAATCGACTGATGAAAGGAGCAAGGTATTTTATCTTCTACATTTCTCTTCTGCTAACTGTTAGGATTATCCATCTGGACCTAATCTCAATACACATCACAATCAATAAATTGCTGTCCCTCGCTAATTTTCTATTTACAGTATATATATATATAGCTCAGAGGGCTGACCAATGGGTTTGATGGGAAGGAATTTGTGCTCTGTCCATGTCATGCTGTCTCATGCTTCCCCCTTCTGTGCACCTTTTTTTCTTTTTATGGTTTTGTACATAAAACTGCTCACCTACTTAAATATTTTCCAAGTTTGGTGGGGAAGCCATATGGCTTAATAGAAAATGGAATAGAAGTCAGAGTGCTGATTTGACCTTAGCCAAGTCACTGACCTCCTTCAGCCTTAGTCAGCTCCGCTATAAAATTGAGAAAAAGCAGGACCTGTTTGAAAACCAGATGCTGCATCTGAGCAGATCTTTCCTGGGTAAATACATTTTCAAATTGAAGAGTTAGGTTTTTAACCTGATACATAACAGATGCACAACTGCACCTGGGGATGTGGGATGGATATATTACCCCAGAGGTCTGTGACCTTAGCTCTTGCAATTCCACTTTCGCCTACTCAGAAATAGAACCTTACACTTGTTTTTGTGTTTCTTCAGTTACTGGGACATTGTAGTTACCAACACATCTTTCCTTCTCCCCCCTACTACCTCCTCCTCTCCCCCACCCCCCATCTCACCTTCCAAAACCTCTAAAGTAAGGAAGGGCACAATAGTGAGCCATGATACAATACTTTTATCCCCAGCATCTGCAGGTAAAACAAAAGGAAGTGCAAAATTGCCTAAGTAGATGGCAATGTATGTGCTTAAGATAATGAGACTAGTTTAAATGGAGCAAAATAGTTTAAAAATAAATAAATCTAAAAATCACAAAATTCCAAATGAACCATGCATAAGGGAACAATGTAGTAGTAATTCTGGATCTGGGAATTCTTCCGAAAGTTCAACTAAGTGTGTGTGGAAATAAGCCATATGTTTGCAACCTATCAGTGGGTTTTTAAAAAACAAACAGATTGATTGGGAGTGCTGCGGTGGCAGTGGTGGTTCAGCGTCCATAATTCAGTCAGTCCTATTTAACCCTGCGTGAACTCATGCATATGTTAGCTATCTAACAACATATGTTAAATCTTAGATAGTGAGGGTTCAAAGAAGGGCATCTGAAATGCGACAATACCTTAAGAGTGTAACTTACAAGGAGAGAGAGTGAAAAAAGTTAAACCTGGTTAGCCTAAAATGAAAATGAACAAAGTAACGTTTCAGAGAAATCTGCATCTCTGCCTCTAAATATGGGAAAGGGAAACAGTACAAAAAATAATTGCTCTTAATAAACAGCAAGGATCTAGTTAGCAAAAAAAAGAGTTAGAATTTTAAAGGACACATTTAGCTTAGATAAGACAAGTTTCATAGAAGGGTCAGGCAGACAGTGGAACTGTTTACATAAGATCTAGATTTCTTTAAAGCAAAGTTGGGTTTTTATGGAAAGATCCTCTTTGAAGCAGCTAATTAAACTTAATTGGGCTTGCCTGTACTGCATGGCACTAGAAGTTATGCTGGCAGTCTGGCTGGAACCTGAGAGCTGACCTGATTTACGTTTGGTCAAAAATAAATGCAGGCAACCTTAATACCTTATTTTCCTGAATTTAGTATGTCCCTTGAGAAAGTGCTACTTGTTTGAGTTTAGCAGCAAGAAAAACGTGCCAATGATCAGCTTTTTCATACATCCTGTAGTTAATAGATGGGAGCCATAGGCCCCATTTCAGAGCTTATTGGTCACTTTAATCAGACAATATACAATAGGCTTTCCAACTCTATCCTCTCCTGCTGTTGTCATATGAAATAAATTATTGTATAGATATTTTATGCAGAGATGCTTTAGTACAAAAAAGCAAAAGTTAATAAGGGTCTAATAAAGATGGTGCACACTGCAGAGCAAATAGACTTATGGAACAGTAAAGTGGCATTCAGTTTCACAATGCTCAGCAATAAAGTAGGTAGCAGAGTTAGGACTCTAGAATCTTGATTGATTGTAGTCGCTTGGATCTTCCCAGAGGAAATAACATTGTAATGTTCACATAGTGTTAAGAACTTACAGTTGGAAACATCTTGATTTGACTTGTAAATTGAACAAATCTGTTATGGAAATTGAGGAAGAATTCACTTAAAATACCCAGTATCCTGTTTAGTCTTATTTTTTAAAATAACTGCTCTTTATTTGCCCGCATGCATGAACAAGAAATACCAGAACCCTAAGCTCACCTTGCTTCAGTCTGGCAAATGATGGAATACTACTTTGCTCTTCCACAAATATATGTTGCCTCTGCAATGCTGACAGTAGTATAAATTACTTTGTATTAGCACAGGAAGTAGAGACTCAGGTGATCAGGACAGGCAATTTTGAGTAATGACAAAGTGCAATTTTTATTCTTTTGGGTTTTTTTTCTATAAATTTTACATTTTTAGCAGGTAAATAGAATGTCATTGTTATCTTGTGAAAAGATCCCAGTATTTGACCTAGAGAAGTTGTGATTACAGAGGATATAATGAGATTCATGTTTAATACCACCTTGGTAGGAACTCTGAATCCTAACCTAGGTTGCAGTGTAAGGAACAACGATAAGAAGCTGTCTTGGTTTAAGATTGGTTCACAGTCATGCTGGAAGGGCATAACAAGTGGAATTCCACATGGGTCTGTTTTGGGACCAGTTCTGTTCAGTATCTTCATCCACAATTTAGATGATGGCATAGAGAGTATGCTTATTACGTTTGCAGATGATACCAAGCTAAGAGGGGTTGCAAGTGCTTTGGAAGATAGGGTCATGATTGAAAATGATCTGGACAAACTGGAGAAATGGTCTGAGGTAAATAGGATGAAGTTTTATAGGGCAAATGCAAAGTACTCCACTTGGGAAGGAACAATCCGTTTTACATATACAGAATGGGAAGCGACTATCTAAGGGAAGGAGTACTGCAGAAAGGGGCCTAGTGGTCATAGTAGACCACAAGCTAAATATGAGTCAACAGTGTGACATTGTGTCAAAAAAAGCAAACATGATTCTGGGAAGCATTAGCAGGAGTGTTGTAAGCAAGACACGAGAAGTCGTTCTTCAGCTCTACTCTGCACTGATTAGGCCACAACTGGAGTATTGTGTCCAGTTCTGGGCACCACATTTCCAGAAAGATGTGGAGAAACTAGAGAGAAGAGCAACAAGAATGATTAAAGGTCTAGAGAACATGAACTATGAGGAAAGACTGAAAGAACTAGGCTTGTTTAGTTTAGGAAGGAGAAGACTGAGAGGGTACGTGATAGCTATTTTCAAGTATCTAAAAGGGTGTCACGAGGAGGAGGGAGTAAAATTGTCCTATCATCGGAGGCCAAAGAGAACAAGAAGCAATGGGCTTAAACTGCAGCAAGGGAGGTTTAGGTTGGACATTAGGAAAAACTTCCTAAGCATCAGGGTGGTTAAACACTGGAATAAATTGCCTAGGGAGGTTGTGGAATCTCCATCTCTGGAGATATTTAAGAGCAGGTTAGACAGACATCTAGGAGGGATGGTCTAGGATGGGTGATGCTTGGTGCTGCCATCAGGGCAGGGGATTAGTATTCTATGATTCTAAGATATGTTTGGTGTTGTATAAAAAATAGTGGGGAGCACTTTTGGAGAAGTCATAGTGATTGAGAGTGATTTATCTCCATGTTTGACAAAAATAATCATAACTCATTATGAATTTTCCTGAAATGGCCTGTACGATTTTTAAGAGTGCTAAATTTTTCTCTTTAAATATTGTATATTTCATCAGTGAGAGTGTGCAGAAACAGAATTGACTTCTCATGCTTTGCCTTTTTTATGCATTTTTTTGGTGAGGGAGACAGGGAGAGGGAGTAAAGGAGGTGTGAAACTGAAAGTACCAGTCACAGATTAAAATCTAGGAAAGGATGAATAGTCTTGCCTTTTTAAACACAAAAAACCCCATTAAAACGGAAGGTCTGAGAAATCTTCGGAGAATGTGTAAAAATAATATATTTTGGAAAAAATGCTCCAAAGTGTTTGTGATACTTCATGTGTATAGTGCTTTTCAAAACAAGAGCAGAGGATATATAGTGTTTT